TTTTGAAATTTTAATCTTCAACATCATGTAATAGTTCTTCAATCCTCAATGATATGTATACAAGATATGTTATGGAATGATGAACAAAATATATAAATGATGTATATATGTGGGTGTATGAGAGTTATGGGAGATGTGAGGAAGAAGGGCAAAAATTCGCACATAAGATAGAGAGACGTATGCTTCTTCAGCGTGCGCATAAACAGGCCTTTAAAGCCTTTGCCTGAAGCCTTGAATCAGTTCCTAAACATTGGAACCAGTTCCAGACCAACAGTCCACTTTAGCTTTGAGCCAGTTGACAGCTTGAACTAGTTCCCACCTTTTGGAACCAGTTTAAGACACACAGTCTTGATAGTGTTCTTTTGAAAAAAAAAAAATTTTAAAAATTAATTTCCAAAAAAATTCTAACACATTGGTGATTAAAAATCCAATCAACAAAGAAAAATTTAAAAACCTAAAAATAAATCAAAATCTTTTTGAATTTGTTTTAAAATTTTCAATTTTTTTTTTAAATTAAAATAACAAATCATCAATCATTAAAATCATCCGGTCAACACACGATTCAAAATCCTTTTAAAGAAATTTTAAAAATATCTCACAGAACAAATATTTGACTCCACAGACTTTTAAGATAATTTCAAATCCCAGAAAGTAATCACAACATGAAATCAAACTTGCAAATTTTAATGAAAAAATTAGAAATTAATCTAGCTAGTTCATGTGTGTGTGTGAAATCCAATCTAATCCATCTTCAGTTGAATTTCAAAAGATTATTGTCTAAACCTTATTAATCGAAAAGCATCAAGATAAAATTATTTTGAGCAATTTTTCTAAGCAAGGCGGCTTTCACTCTAAAGAGTAGTCAGCAATTCCCCAACTCAACTTATCTCTACTTTTAGCTTCAATTCACAGTTTAATGGGAGCTTTCGATCAAATCTCAATAGGTAGCCTTTTCCTTAGCAAAGTATTCAGCAACTTTCAAATTTTTTTTTAAGCTGAATATTTTTCATTTTTTTTAAGCTCCTATATATATATATATATATATATATATATATATATATATATATATATTTAGACTATAAACTTTATATCTTTTATGAACAATAAACTCTAGTCAACAGATCAAAAGATTTTCAACCAAATTTGTCAGAGATGGACTAGTGCACAAAAGTCTATGAACTTAAGAAATTCAAATCTAAAAATCCCCTAATCAATGCAAATCATCTTTCATTGTATAGATTACAGACCAATAATCTATTTTTATCCAAATTATCATGTGTCTTAATTTGCATTCAAAGATAAATCATAAATTCTTCAAAAGAATTTTCACATGAATATCAAGAAGATTATGATCATAAACTCAAAACCCACACCAAACTCTAACAAGTGATCCAATGACAACAAAATTTTCTTTTAAACACAAGCCATGATCACTGAATTTTATAGGACTCAGTTTGAAAATGAAGTCCTTTTGAAATCTAGTTCCATGGACTCAATAAGCACAAAATTGATCAAATCAGTCTTTTTGATCCACACAGTCTTTATTCTCACTTCCTGAAATTCTCTCTTATTCTTTACCTTTTTCTTAGGCAAATTTACAGCTTTAGAAACCTTAGGTGGCACAAAATTCTTTTTCTTTTTAGTAAACACCTTTTTCTTATCTTGAATATTTTAAGAATGAATTTTCGAAGACTTTTTCGTTTTCCTTTGAAAATATGAGTGATTCTTATGTCTATTCTTACTACAGAAAGTGCAATCCAACAGTTTAGGCATATCAACAGGTTTAACAAAAATTATTTTACCTTGACCACTAGATGAACCTCTAACAAATCGTAACCCAGTTTTATCATTTATATCATTTCCTATGTTGATTATCTTATTAAAATTGTTTTGACTCATATTGAACCCTTTCAGTTTACCTTGTTCAGATTTCAATTCAATTTCAAGATAATCAATTTTCAAAGCATGACATTCCTTCAATGAGTTAGCAATACTTACCTTATCCTCAAGAATGATAATCTGCTTCTCAAGCTTAGTTGAAGACACCAAAAGTGACTCGGGCTTGGTATGATTCATATTGCTAAGAACGGGTCGGGTATGGGCAGCCGAGATGGAGCAAGTCCACGCTGAATGGGCCCAGGTCCAGGAAGTCATTAAGAAAGCCCATATTGTGATGAAAGGAATTGGGCCCAAACAAAAGGAGAGAAGATAGGTCCAGCCCAGGAGTGATTGTAACCGTCTATAAATAGACGAAAATGAGAAGGAAAAGTGGTTGAAAAAATATTTTGGAAGTGTAAGTTTCTCTCTCTAAAATTGGGGAAAATTATTTGTACTTTCAATTGGTGCCATCTGTGGGAAAAATGACGAGGATTGATTGGTGTTGATCCGAATCGATTCGATTCAGAGCACTTTGCGAAGAAGGCGCTTGATTTCTGAAAGCTGAATCAAGATTGATGAAATTGTGATCTGTCTTGATGAATCTCGGTTCCAGTTGGTTTTGAGAGGTTGGCGTCCGATCTATGCAGATCTGATCTGTGCTTATTTCGGCGAGCTGCGCAATTGTGGCTTGTTAAGAGTGCCGAATTCGGCAAGCTCGTAGCTGAAGTAATTCAAATCCGGCCAGTAACGAACAGAATTCAACAAGTTTGAGTCCAGATCTGGTGCGTTTGCATTAGCAAAGCTCAGATCTGATCAAGAAATCCGCGGTTAATGACTTTGCTCCGATCAGGAATGATGATCGGAGAAGAGAGCTCAAATCCCTTGGAGAATAGCCAGCTGTCAAAGCTCGATGAGTTGACGAACATGATCGAAGCTATGAGAAAAGAAAATGCAGAATTGCGAGCTAGAATGGAACGTCGTGAAGCTCCTACTATTACGAGGCCACCTCCGGTAGGAGAGGGAGTCTTGCCGTTCAATGCTGTTCATCAAGGTGATCCAGAAGGTGTCAATCGCGTGGATCCTCATCGTGATGAAGTCTTATTAGGCGATCTACCTCCAAATGTCTGTCAAGTAGAAGAACGAGAGGGATCTATTGATTTAGAGCCACACCGCGAACGGATCATGCGAGAGGAAGTGCCGGTGTATGATCGTAGGGTTGCATCACCGTGGCAAAGTGAGTTTGCAGAGGATAGATCGTTTGATCCACCTTATCGACCTTCAATGGCAACATTTGATTACCACAGTTCAGAAAGGAGATCTGCCAATCTGGGAGTTCTATCACGGTTTTCAAGAGAGAACAAAACACTGCGCTCATCAGTAAGGACGGTTGCATCTCCGTTCACTGATGAAATCCTAAACGCTCTAAATCTGAAGAAGTTTTCCATGCCGATCTTCATTCTGTTTGATAGAACAACCGACCCGGTTGACCACATCTACCACATTCAGTTGAAAATGGCTTTGAATACTAACAATAATCCTTTGATGTGAAAATGCTTCCCTACAAGTTTAGCTGGGCCAGCCCTCAATTGGTTTAAGAATCTGGCTCAAGGCTTAATTGCTAGTTTCCAGGACTTGTGTGACAAGTTCATAAGCCAGTACTATGGGAATAAACGCCTGGCTAAGGATATTTCAAGCCTTTTCATAATGAAATAGCATGAAGATGAACGACTCCAAGCTTTCCTCACCTGGTTCAACTTTGTCAAAAGCATGGTAATAGAATGTCATCCGTCCACAGCGGTACAAGCGTTTAAACTTGCAATGAACCGAGGGACACCGTTCCACACAAGCCTGGTGGTGAATACGTCGAAGACCATGGATGAGCTGAACGAGGGAGCTGACGATTTTATGCGTCTGGAAGAAGAAGAGGCAGCTAATGCAAGGAAGACATCAATTATTTCAACAAAAGAGAATTCTGAAGCCAAGATCCCGCAAAAATAAGTTTAGCCACAAAGTCAGACCTCCTAGAAGGTAGAGAAAAGGCCCAGAGAGGAGGAGTTGGTTACTCCACTCAGAGTTACCCTGGCAAGGCTATATCAAGAGAACAAAGATAAGTTTCGCCCTCCCTTACCAATCAGCCAACCTCTTGAACAGAGGGATCAAACTAAACATTGTGCTTTCCATAGTGACTTTGGCTATCAGACTAATGAATGCAGGGACCTAAGGAGGCAAGTGGAGATGCTGATCGTAAAGGGGGAATTTGCAGGATATGTTCAAGGTCCGGCACAAGTGTAGAACTGACCGGCTGAGCAGATCAAGAGAAATCAGAAGACGAATCACCACAGCACTTAGCCCATTCAGATTATAATGCAATTCATGGCCGACATGAACAGACAGCGGAGTCAGATGAGCTACTCAGAACGCGATTACGCCAAGCCTAGATGAAGAAATGATTGGCAGTGTATATGCTTTGCATCAGTAAAGCGTATCAGCACAAATAAAGTTTGACAGAACAGACCTGCTACGCAATCAGGTTCCTCATGAAGATCCACTGGTCATTAGTCTGACAGTTATAGAATGCCTGGTGCGAAGAGTTCTGATTGACCCAGGAAGTAGTGCAAATGTCATGCCCAAAGTAACGTTCGACCGGCTCGAGATCGAACCCGGGAAACTTAAACCCACAGGAAATCCATTGCTAGGATTTGACAGGAAGCGGGTGGAGCCTATTGGTATGGTGGAATTGACAGTGCAAGCTGCTGAGAGAGTGCTGACTAAGAGTTTTATGGTCGTAAAAATTCATCCATCTTACAACCTCTTGATGGGAGAGGGTGGATTCACAGATTCAGGGTGTCCCATCAACCCTACATCAAGTGATGCGATACTTGGGTCCAGATAGGACCAAGGTGATTGACATTCATGGGGACCAGGTTGCAGCTAAAAAGTGTTATTTAGTGACTTTGAAGTCTGCTGGAAAGGGGAAAATTCCCATCCGTTCTGCAAGTCTAAGATAGCAATTATAGGAACCTCCACCCAACAAAAATGAGGAGGAAGAGCCGCCAGTTCTGACCGCAGAACCTCTTCTTGATGTGCAGATCGACCATAAAAAGCTGAACCAAACAACGAGGATGGGATCCAGACTTGTTGAAGAGGAGAAACAAAGGTTGATTGATTTCTTGACTCAGAATGCAGATGTGTTCGCGTGGAACCATTCAGACATGCCTAGAATTAGTCCTTCTGTGTCCTGTCATTCCCTCAATGTAGATCCAAATGCAAAGCCTATGAAGCAGAAGCAGAGAAGATTTGTTCCAGAACGCAATCGAATCATAGCTGAGGAGATTAATCGGTTGCTCGAGGCAGGATTCATTAGAGAGGTTCAATACCCGGCCTGGCTCTCCAATGTCGTTGTTGTGCAAAAAAAGAATAGGAAATGGAGAGTATGTATTGACTTCCCTAATTTGAACAAAGCTTGCCCAAAGGACAGCTTCCCATTGCCAAGGATTGATCTAATGGTGGATGCCACTGCTGGGTACGAACGATTAACCTTCCTAGATGCTTACTCAGGTTATAATCAGATCCCCATGGACCCGATTGATGAAGAGAAAACTTCTTTTGTTACCGAACGTGGGACCTACTGCTACAAAGTCATGCTGTTCGGATTAAAGAATGTTAGAGCTACTTATCAGAGGCTAATCAGCAAGATTTTTAAAAGTCAAATGGGGAGGACTGTAGAGGCTTACATTGATGATATGGTGGTAAAGAGTAAAAAAAAAAGGACGATCACTTGGAGCACTTACAGGATGTGTTCGGTGTGTTAAGAAAGTACGAAATGAAGCTTAATCCAACCAAATGCTCGTTCGACGTAAGCACTGGCCAATTCTTGGGACATGTGGTCAATCATAAAGGAATTGAGGCTAGCCCAGCCCAAGCGGAAGCTTTGATCAGAAATGCAAAACCAAAGACAATTAAAGAAGTGCAAGCACTCACGGTTCGAATAGCTGCACTGAGCCGATTCATTTCTAAGCTCTCAGACCGTTGTAAACTATTTTTTGACACGATACGAGGCCATGGAAGATAAGCCTGGGGGATAAACAATGATAGGTATTGACCAACCTGAAAGATTACATACGAAACCCTCCGGTTCTATCTACTCCCAAGCCAAATGAAAAGCTCTTTGTGTACCTTGGGGTATCCAGCATCGCGACAAATGCCGTTCTGATCCGTTGCAAAGACGGAAAGCAGTTCCCAGTGTTTTATGTCAGCAAAACAATGGCCGAGCCAGAAAAAAGGTACTCAAAGGCCGAACAGATAATCTTGTTGTTAGTTAACGCGAAAAGGAAGCTCAGGCATTATTTCGAATCCCATCTAATTGTCGTCTTAACTACTTTTCCTATAAGGATGATCTTGCACAAACCAGATCTATCAGGAAGAATGACAAAATGGGTCATTGAGTTGAGCTCATTTGATATTACATATGAACCCAGAACGACAATCAAAGGTCAAGCGGTGGCTAATTTCCTACTTGAATGTGATGTTGAAGACTTGGAGGAAGATTATAGTTGTTCCTTATGGAAGCTCTTTGTTGATGGCTCTTCAAATCAAATGGGGGCAGGAATTGGAATCAAATTGCAAACACCAGAGGGCACCACGTTGAGCCAAGTGATCAGACTTGAGTTCAAAGCAACCAACAACGAGGCTGAATACGAGGCATTATTAGCTGGGCTGAAGTTAGCTAAAGAGCTGAAGATTAAGAATCTAATTGCTTATAGCGATTCACAGCTAATCGTTCAGCAAGTAACTGGAGAATATGGAACCAAAGATAAGACCATGGAAGCATACCGAACCGTAGTTCTGCGTGAGGTAAAAGACTTCGATCAGATTAAGTTCATTCAGTTGCCGAGGGAGTATAATGAAGATGTCGATCACTTGGCCTGTAGTGCATCCAGTTCTGGAGAAACACTGGCTAGGGTCATCCCGGTTGACGTGTTGATCCAGTCGTCCATTTTTTATGAACTGCCCGATCTGAGCGCTCAGCAAGTTAATGTTATACCATATGAGCCGAGCTGGATTGATCCGATCATAGCTTTCATACGTGATGGTGTGCTGCCCGAACAAAAAGATGAAGCAAGAAAAATTAGGTCCAATGCCGCGAAATATGCTATTGTGCGTGATCAGTTGTACAGACGGTCCTTTTCGGGTCCATACTTGAAGTGTGTTACCCCAATAGAGGCTAGACAGATCATGCAAACCATTCATGAAGGTGTATGTGGAAATCATTCGGGAGGAAGATCTTTGGCACACAAAACAATGACACAAGGGTACTTTTGGCCAAACATGGCACAAGGTGCAGAAGAATTCTCTAGAAGATGCGATAAATGCCAAAGGTTCGGACCATTGATACACTAACCACCTGAAGACTTGCACGTAATGGCCACGCCAGGGCTTTTCGCGCAATGGGGGATGGATGTGGTTGGCCCTCTGTCGACCACAAGATCACAGAACAAGTATGTTTTGCTAGTAACAGATTACTTCACCAAGTGGGTGGAAGCAGAGCCGTACCCTAATGTTACCCAAACTCAAGTGAGACGCTTCATCTAGAATAATATTATCTGTCGCTTTGGCGTACCAAGGTTGATCGTTATGGACAATGGGACCAATCTCGATAGCAAGCAAGTGAAGGAGCTGGTGGAAGAATATGGAATTAATCAAAAGTTGGCAGCAGTCAGCCATCCCTAAGCCAATGGTCAAGCTGAGATCACGAATAGGACAATATTTGTCTGCATCACGAAGAAGCTCGAAAATGAAAAAGGAAAATGGTTAGACGAGCTTCTGAACGTCTTGTGGGCTTACAGAACAACCCGAAGACGGCCGACCGGGGATAGCCCATTTGCTATGGCGTACGACACCGAGGTAGTGATACCAATCGAGCACTTAGTTCCAACCGCTAGAAGATTGGCGTGGAATCAAGAGCAGAATGATAGAATGTTAAGATTTAATCTTGATCTGCTGGAGAAGAAAAGGGACGCAGCTGTAATAAGGCTTGCTTCTTATTAGCAGACGCTAGTAAATAGCTATAACAAGAGAGTGAAGCACAGAGACTTCGCCCTTGGCGATCTGGTTCTGAAAAGGAAGGTGGGGATAGTCAAAAAGATGTTTTTACCATGGGAAGGTGCATACAGGATTGCAGAAGTCATAGGGAAGGGGGCATACGTCCTGGAGACCATGGCAGGAAGGTTGGTCAGTAAATCATGGAATGCCACGTCTCTGAAAAGGTACTACTGTAAAAGTAGAATTTAATTCCGAACAGTATGCTCGTTTTGACTTGCATTCTTGCAAGTGTACAAAATTCTCAAGTTTTATGAAAAAAGTTTATTTTGCTTAAGATTAATTGGCATTCTTCCCACATAGTAGAGCAAGTGGCAGTTGGCACTACGAGCCGAGCACCAAACTCTTGCATAAAAATAAATATATGCCAAGTGGCAAGAGGCATTTTAGCCGAGTGTCTGGCACATAGCAAAGTAAGTGACAGCTGGCACTACAAGCCGAACACCAAACACTTGCTCAAAAATAAACATATGCCGAGTGGCAAGTGGCATTCTAGCCGAGCGCCAGGAATTTAGCAAAGTAAGTGGCAGCTGGCACTATGAGCCGAACACCAAAACTTTTGCATAAAAATAAATATGTGCTAAGTGGCAAATGGCGTTTTAGCCGAACGCCAGGCACATAGCAAAGTAAGTGGCAGCTGGCACTACAAGCCGAACGCCAAACATTTGCTAAAAAATAAACATATGCCGAGTGGCAAGTGGCATTCTAGCCGAGGGCCAGGCACTTAGCAAAGTAAGTGGTAGCTGGCACTATGAGCCGAACGCCAAAACTCTTGCATAAAAATAAATATATGCCAAGTGGTATTCTAGCCGAAAGTCAGGCACTTAGCAAAGTAAGTGGCAGCTGGCACTACAAGCCAAACGTTAAACACTTGCTCAAAAATAAACATATGCCGAGTGGCAAGAGGCATTCTAGCCGAGCGCCAGACACTTAGCAAAGTAAGTGGCAGCTGGCACTACAAGCCGAACGCCAAACACTTGCTCAAAAATAAACATATGCCGAGTGGCAAGTGGCATTCTAGCCGAGCGCCAGGAACTTAACAGAATTAGTGGCAGCTGGCACTACAAGCCGAACGCCAAACACTTCTGAAAAATGAAATTTGAAAACTGAAACTTGAAATTAAAGAAAAAAGTCAGGTATTAAGTTATCATAGCATCTAGAATTGAAGAATATAAGTTTTTCCAAAAAGAGGTATTATCATTTCTTGTTCCTTCATTACAAAACGATTTTGAGGTACATGGCTTGATGCTCTGAGGATACATTCAAAAAAAAAAAAAAAACCTATTGCAAGAGATGGCAGAGTGCTAGTTGGCACGATCTTCTCCAAGCTATGACTCATTGTTTCCCCCATCATTGCCCTCTGGCCCATTGTGGCCTTCTCTGTTTTTAGCTGTACTATCATCCTTGGATGGAGAGTCAAGATGAATCACCCCCTCAGTTAGCACGAGTCTGTCCGAGGCAACTGATGTGGAGGGGATAATAGGAGTGATAGAAAGAATGTTCAAAGGATGGAAGGGTGGAACAACCCTTGAGGCTGAAACCTCTCTGCATTCAATAAGTGTATTCTCAGCAGGGTCACAGGGTGGATTTTGGTAGTTACTTGGTGGATGGATGTCCAAAGAGGTGTCCAGCTCATCTAAACCAACACAGGAGCTAGTTTCACCATCAGGGGGAGAATGGTCAATAAAACTGTCTCTATACCCTTTAGCATACCTGAGAGCACTGGTTCTAGTGAAGCGGGCAAGGAGAGCTCTCATGCCACCCTCAACTTTGCCAATCATATTCGGTAAAGAAAAGCGTTCATTTAAAAGCTTTTCCTTTGAGTTAGCATGGGTCAACCGTTCAGCAATAAGTGTACGCTGAAGATCTCCCTTCTCAGCCCCCAGTGAGTCTCTTTCAGTCAGGGCGACGTTCTTCTCAGTCTTCAGGACATCAACGTCATCCTGAAGAGAGTGCCATTCAGCCTTAAGGGATTCCCGTTCAGCTTTCATGGCGTCCATATCATTTGCCAGAGCGTCTTTCTCAGTTTTCAAGGTGGCAGTTTCTTTCTCTGACTCGTTCAGCTTAGACACAAGCTCAGCGTTTTTGGCCTCAACCTGGCTCTCTGCTTCAACGGATTTTTTAAGGCTAGCAGAGAGAGACTTGAGTTTCTTGTTCAGAACCTTAATGGTTTTCTGAAAGGTGAACATCCCAAATAGAGTCTGCACAGAGGAAGGGAGGTTATGGTCAGTTCAACCACTAAATAGTTCAAATAGAAAAGAGACGTATCTCAATAAGAAGAAAAATTACCTCAATGGCAGCTGCTGGGAACCGCTGGTACATCTCACCAAAGGTCATCTTGTTCTGGATTTCAAGATCCTTTGGAGTCCAGAAACCCTTGTAGAAAGCAAAAGAAGTGAAGGGGTCCTGGTATAAAGAATCTGTAGGGCCAATGGTCGAGCCATCTTCACGGCTGAGCAGAGGGCACCATGGAAGAACGGATGGTGCTAGACCAGAGGTTCTGACAGATTCACCCTCTGGAATGAAAAGCTGAGATGGAGGCATGGGTTCAGTGATCCTGAAAGAAGCCATCCTGGTCATCTGAGTTGGTGGGACGTCACTCTGGTCATGACTGCCCTCAGGCATTGGCCTTTTTCCTAGACTTTTCTTTGATATACCAGCTCTAACTAGAGGAGACCCTCCATTGTTCTGAGATCCCTCAGCATCTTGAGTGCTCTCTAAAGAAGTGTTAGATAGAATATTTGAAGGCACATTGGTGGGAGTAGCAGGATGGGCCTCAGTAGAATGATCCACAACACGGGTCTCAGCAGGGATGGATGCAGAAAGCCCGTCAGCAGAATGATCTACGACTTGAGTTATAACTAGAACAGTCATAACCTGTTCCGGAGCTGAGACAGCTGAGGTGGATGATGTGGTAGTAGGTGTAGAGGAAAATATGGTAACAGGAGCAACGGAAGAGATGGGAGCAAAATGCCTCCTCCTGCTGAAAGATGGAATCTGAATGCTCTCTATTGTAGATCCTAAGAGAGAGATATCAGAGAGGTTGTCAGGAGTAATCAAGTCTGTAGCTGAAGGGATGTTGTTCAGCACACTCTCTTATAAGATGTCTAGCTTGGCCCTGTAAACGCTATAAACCAGTTCATCATGAGGTATTTGAAGGCATTTACAAAGAAAAGTACAAAAACGTGGAAAGCAACTTTCACAGTGGGATGTGTTTTCAGTTTTTTATAACCAAAGACAGAGCATACTCCAAAGGTGGAGGGGATAGAGAAAGATTGGCTGAACAGAGTCCGCCAATTCCCATTGACCCCAATCAAGTTTTGTCTCCAACCTTTTTCAAAGGAGTTCTTGTCCGTACAGATTGATCATTTTTCAATAGGAAAGAAATGATAGTATAGCTCACTATGTTTGATTCTGTTAATTCGGTAACAGAGGAGGAGGTCAATGATGTCAAGATTAAGACCCCTATCATAGTTCAAGAGCAGAAGGATTGAAATTACCCTAAGGAAGTTAGGGTTAACTTGCAGAGGGCAAAGCCCCAATTTGCTAAAGATATAGCAAAAGAATGGATGTAAGGGGGAACCTAATTACGTTTAAGTAGACGGTAGAGAATAAAATCTCCCCAGGAAGGAAACCCTCACCAGAGCTCCCATCCAGGTTTGTGGGGTAGATCCTGAGAGAAACGTCATTGGGAATGCTATTTTTGAAATAAATGGAATTCAAATTAAGGGGAGCCATGGAGAAGGGGAGAAATCTCTGATAATGAAGGTTTTTCTTTCAAAAAGGATAGTAAAAAAAAAAAAAAAAAACTGACCTTGAGGAAGGAGTTTGTGAAGTACTCTGCAACAACACAAGAGCCAAATCGCGAAGGAAAAACTCACTGGAGAAACTGAAGAAAGCTCGCTGAAAAATGTAGGAAGATGACAGAAGAGACCCGAGAAGACAACAACGGAGGATAAAAATAGGATATGTTAAAGGAAGACAAGGATTGAGAGGATTAGGGTTTTTAAAGAGAAGAAATGAAGGCGACACAGAATTCGAAAGGTTAAGGCAAAAGTGGCACAACAGATCTTGGAGTCTGGGTCTTCGTGCTAGCCGTTCGATTCCTTGTGTCATCACTCCGAGCCATCAGACCAAGATTGTGTCTTTTTAATAATCTCACCCTAATTAATTAAGGGAGAGATTATGGGGGCTGATGAAGACACCAAAAGTGATCTAGGCTTGGTATGATTCATATTGCTAAGAACGGGTCGGGTATCGGCAACTGAGATGGAGCAAGTCCTCGCTGAATGGGCCCAGGT